TCTCCCCACTCATCCTCTAAGCTCTCTCTACCACCCACTCACTCCCTCCTCTGGCTTCAGAACTATCCTCCCTGCTCCCCACCACCATTCATCTCACTCCACACATCTGGCTTCAGAAAGACACGCCCTGACCAGACCACTGACAGTGTCCATCAGTCCCCACATTCCTCAACTTTTCATCTTGTCTTTCATAATTCTTATCACACTTTTAATTACTTTATTTGATAAACAGTTTAATGATCATCTCACTCATGAGACTGTAAGCAACACAAATTCTCTCCTGTTTACCAGTGAAAAGCCTAGTACCTAACAACACCTTTGGCATGGAGTAGATGTTCAATACCAATCTGCTGAATGAAAAAATTTAAGAAGTTAACTTCAGGTCTTACTGCAAAAGAATATTCTCAACCCAATCTTTAAAGTCAATAATGCTTCCCTAGTCATGGATATTTCCATTAAATACATAAAAATCACAACATTCTTCCTTAAGACAGGATAACTCCCTCCCTCATTATAACCACAATCCACACATCTAGAAGGTGATAGCTGACTTCACACGGACTGATAGCACCCAAATACCTGATTGGCAGTTTTTAAAAATCATCCACCTGGTACAATGGTCTAAATCATCCACTCAGTACAATGGTTATAAGTTACCAAAGCACCCTGACAACTCTAATGGTTTAAGGATTCTCTCCAAAATCTCTAGGAAGTGATAAATAGTCTCCCTGTTGTACAGTCTATTTTTAAAGTCTGGCTACTACATCCACGATTCTTTTAAGTGTTAAAATCTTATCAGTTCAGTTCAGTAGCTCAGTCATGTCACTCTCTGTGACCCTGCGGACTACAGCATGCCAGGCTTCCCTGTCCATCACCAACTCCCAGAGCTTGCTCAAACTTAGGTCCATTGAGTCGGTGATGCCATCCAACCATCTCATTCTCTGTCGTCCCCTTCTCCTCCCGCCTTCCAATTTTTCTCACCATTAGGGTCTTTTCCAATGAGTCAGTTCTTGGCATCAGGTGGCCAAAGTGTTGGGAGTTTCAGCTTCAGCATCAGTCCTTCCAATGAATATTCAGGACTGATTTCCTTTAGGATGGACTGGGTGGATCTCCTTGCAGTCCAAGGGACTCTCAAGCGTCTTCTCCAATACCACAGTTCAAAAGCATCAATTCTTTGGTGCTCAGCTTTCTTTATAGTCCAACTCTCACATCCATACATGACTACTGGAAAAACCATAGCTTTGACTAGACAGACTTTTGTTGGCAAAGTAATGTCTCTGCTTTTTAATATGCTGTCTAGGTTAGTCATAGTTTTTCTTCCAAGGAGCAAGCATCTTTTAATTTCATGGCTGCAGTCAGCATCTGCAGTGATTTCGGAGCCAAAAAAAATAAAGACTGTCAATTGTTTTCATTTTTTCCCCATCTATTTGCCATGAAGTGATGGGACCAGATGCCATTCTCTTAGTCTTCTGAATGTTGAGTTTTAAGCCAGCTTTTCCACTCTCTTCTTGCACTTTCATCAGGTGGCTCTTTAGCCCTTCTTTGCTTTCTGCCATTAGGATGGTGTCATTTGCATATCTGAGGTTATTGATATTTCTCCCGGCAATCTTTATTCCAGCTGTGCTTCATCCAGCCCAGCATTTCTCATGATGTACTCTGCATATAAGTGAAATTAGCATGGTGACAATATACAGCCTTGATGTCCTTCTTTTGCAATTTGGAACCTGTCTGTTGTCCCACGTCCAATTCTGACTGCTGCTTCTTGACCTGCATACAGATTTCTCAGGAGGCAGATAAAGTGGTCTGGTATTCCCATCTCTTGAAGAATTTTCCACAGTTTGTTATGATCCACACAAAGGCTTTGGCGTAGTCAATAAAACAGAAGTAGACGTTTTTCTGGACCTCTCTTGCTTTTTCGATGATCCAACACATGTTGATAATTTGATCTCCAGATCCTCTGCCTTTTCTAAATCCAGCTTGAACATCTGAAGTTCATGATTCACGTACTGTTGAAGCCTGGCTTGGAGAACTTTGAGCATTACTTTGCTAGCATGTGAGATGAGTGCAATTGTGTGGTAGTTTGAACATTCTTTGGCATTGCCTTTCTTTGGGATTAGAATGAAAACTGACCTTTTCAGTCCTAGACTGGCTGAGTTTTCCAAATTTGTTGGTATATTGAGTGCAGCACTTTCACAGCATCTTTTAGGATTTGAAATAGCTCAGCTGGAATTCCATCACCTCCACTAGTTTTGTTCCTGGTGATACTTCCTACGGCCCACTTGACTTTGTGTAAAATCTTATGGCTGAGCATAATGAGATGGAGGCAGTCATTTACCTTTCATATTAAATTCGGTCACTTCCCTGATCCCAAGCCTGCTGGTTAGCCAGTGCTCACAGGCTGCAGTCTGATTAAAGCATGAAGTTGTGCATTTCAACAAGGCAGCCTGTATCCAGCTTCATCTCAGGCCACCCTTCCTTCCACATACCCCACACTGCAGCCACAGTAGCTTGCCACCACAGCCCAGAACACCCACGGTTTTTGCAAAGTCCCTTTCGCTCCTTCCCCCACACATATCTTGTAAGGACACACTGGCCACAGGAAGCCTGCAGACTCCCTCTGACACCTCGCTGGTCTCTCTCCGCCTTCACAGGATGCTATGAGGGCAGTTACCACGTGCTTTGCTCTCAGTCCTCCTCCGTGGCTTCCTGCCAGTCTTTACCTACATCCTGCTCGTCTCCAAAGGACCACCAGGGAGTGTGGTACAATCAACACATATCTGTTGAATTACTCTCTCTCTAAACACTGCCAGAATTCCTGACGTATGACAGAACAACGCAGAAAACCGCTCCACATCACTTACATCTATCATTATGCAAAAATTCAATGGTCTCTTTATGTCTGGGGCCAAAGAATACATTCATTTAAAACTGACACACACTTCGAATGACAGCTCACTTCTGCCTCAGCAGTTACAGAGACATGAACTACTCCCCTGGATTCTACCACGCTCTTAGGCTCTTCTCTATCTAGACATCTCTCCAGGCCTGACTCCAGACTTGCTTCTGCTAGGAGTAACTGTTCTCCAATCCATTCTCCACTTTTCTAAGTTCAGTCAGCTGCTCTGCCTCATGCCTGCTTCCTTCCCTTTTCCCCACTAAGTTCCAGGAGCCATTTTGTCCAAACTACACAGAAGCTAAGATGAAATGAGGCCTTCCCCAAACTTAAAGTCTAGTTTCTCTTAGAGAAAAGGGAAAGCAAATCCAACAGGAGCCAATCTTGCGCTGAAAAAGACAATGCGACTACAAAGTAACTTAAACCTAACAAAAGCTCCTTACTAGTCACTCTTTCAGAAGAGGACCACCCTTATTCCACCACCAGCCTCCAAGCCAGTCCTGAAAACTCTAGCAGAGCATCCCCAGTACCTACACCTGCTGATTCTCAAGCTGGAAAGTTCCCTGGGGGCAGGGGCTGGGTCTGGCTGGTCCACCACAGCATCTCTAGAAGCTGGTACTGTGGCTGGCATAAAACAGGCCCCAAAAAACTACCTGCTGAATGAACCAACAAGGGATGTTTAAAAAAAAAACCCAAAACTTCAGAGCTTTATCAAGGTGCACTGCAGTTTCTAAGTAAGAGAAAGTACAAAGTGCTTTGCAGCTCAGGGGACCAGGAGGGCTGGTGAACACAAGGGCTGCAATGACTTTGTCCCCAGATTCTGCCCATGCTGGGATCTGGGTTTGGGGATTTCCAGAACTCCTTTCCTTAAAAGTTTTCAAGACCTTGGCTACTAGGAGGAAGTCAAGTCCAAGTGCAACTGATCGCTCCAGCAGATAAGGCAAGGGTGCTGCCAGGCTGGTACCCCACACTCTGCCAACAAATGTTAACAGAAGCAATAGGACGGAATAAAATTCCTGAATCTCAGCAAGAAAAGGGATGAAGAACAAAAAAGCAGAGAAGAGAAAAGTAAGTAGGGTGTGTGGGTAAGGACTGCAGGGACTAGGCAGCCTTTATTAAAATGCACAGCGCAGATGCTGAGCAATTCACAAGCACTGACCCATTTAATCCTCTCACCCAGCCAGGGCTGGAAACTATTATCAATCCCTACTTAACTGACGATGAAACTCAAGTTAAAGGAGACATCACTTGCCCTGAGCACACAGCTAGGAAGGGGCAGTGCTATGGGCCGGGTCTGACTCTGGGGTGCCGCAGAGTTCAACCTGCACTCACTATCTTGCCTGAGGCCTTAAAGGACTAAGAGGCGAGTCGCTCACTTATCCATTTAACGAACAGTTAATAGCATCGATTGGGTACGAGCTAAGGCCTGGTGCCAGCCGCTGGTGGGCGGATGAAGGGACCGGGACTGAGAGGCTGTGGGGGACAGGGCGCAGGGTCCCTCAGAAAGACCCTCAAGCTCGGCACCCGGGCCCGGCGGGATGCGAGGGCGCGGCCCGGCAGAGGGAAGGCGCGGAACCTGAGGGGCGAGCGAGCCGGGCAAGCGAGCCGCGCGCGCGGGGCGGTGGACCCGCGGCGCCCAGAGGCGTGGGCGACGACGGCTCCCTCAGCCGGCCGCCCGCTTCTGCCCGGAACGGGGCCCGACGCTTCGTGCTCCACGGCCACGGCCTCGACCACCCGGCGCGGGCGAGGCGGGGGTCGGGAACGGGGGCAAGACGGGCAGTGAGACCCTGAGGCGCGGCAGCTCGGCTCGGGCAGGGGAGCGCGGGGCCGGGCGGCGTGGCGGGACTCACCTCCCGCGGCAGCCCCTCCGGACTCGTCGGCCCGACCGGCCCGGAGGAGGTGGGAATGGACTCCGGGCCGCGGGAACTGCCGGGAGCCCGTTCCCTGGGCAACGGGACGGGAACCGCCGAGGAACAGCAGGCTCCGCCGCCGGCTAGAGCGGCAGAGCCCTCTCTGGGGCCGGTGGGCGTGTCGGAAGTGACGCAGGCGGACTTCCGGTACCGTGGGCGGGGCTTCGGGTCTCTTTCCCGGGATCCCTGCGGAAGGCATGGAAGGTGCGTGACAAGGGTCAGTTTCCTCAAGCGGAAGGGTGCGAGTGGTGCGGTTTGGTCTTGGAGCTGGACCCGCGGCCGGAAGTCTCCCGAGCTGCGTGCCTGGCCCCGGCACAGCCTCCGCAGTCGGCCTGGAAGTCAGTTTTGCCAAAATAATACAAAGGCGCGTCAGCAGATCCTGACACTGAAGTTGTCGTTATAAATTAGCACCAGCAGATCGCTTTCCCTGAAATCCCGTCAGTCAGAGTTCCCGGCCACAGTTTCCTGCTTGTAATACAAGTCATTCAGCGAGTGCTCGCTGGGCCTCACCGCAGTCCCTTCAAGTGTCCTCAACAGGTGGGAAGTCGAGGCTTGCAGAGAATAAGTCAGATACCCGCTATGCTGCTGTCCTGTTCTGTGGCTGATACCTGATCTCATTTGAGTTCCTTGAAGTCAGAGCGTTGTTTTTGGTTCCTAGATATGTGCTGTGTTATGGGGCAGACAGATGATGACTCTCACGTGCTCCTCGCCCGCGAGGAGCCCCTACTCGGTGAGGGAACTCCTTAGAAGATTGTGGTACAGGCGGTAAGAGGTTTGTTTCTCCATTTAACACGTTCTAGTCAGCACCTACTGTGTGCTGAGGGCTCAGCTGATAAAGAATCCGCCTGCAATGCGGGAGACCTGGGTTCGATCCCTGGGTGGGGAAGACCCCCTGGAGAAGGGAACAGGCTACCCACTCCGGTCTTCTGACCTGGAGGATCCCATGGCCTGGGTCGCAGAGTTGGACAGGACTGAGTGACTTTCCTTTACCATCTGCTGAAGTTGTAAGAGGGAACAGGACAACCTTAGTCACTACTGTGGTGGAACTTAGTCTGTCAAGGAATGTATTAGGCATTAAACAAGCAAGTACACTGCATAGGTGAGTGTCATGAATGAAGCTTAATAAAGTCGAGGGTGTTCAGGTATAGAGTGCAGTGAGCCCTAACCTAACCTTGGGATCCAAGAAGACTTCTTTGTGGAAGTGACTTTCTAAAAACCTACATCGGGTCGTGTAGCTACTCAAAGCTTCCTGCTTGCTTTTCATTGACTTGAAATAAACCCAGACGTCTTATCTTGGCCTCTTAAGTTTCTGGCTGTCTTGACTGCCTCCTCAGCTACTACTCCCTCTCTCTCCTTTTCATTCTAGCCACATAGGTCTTGTTTCACACTCACCAAACTCATTCTCAGTTAAGGTCCTTGCTGTTGACTTCTCATCATTTAGGTTTCAGCCTAAATGACAGTGTCTTCGGGGTTCACTCTTAACACAAGACCCTGTTTTATTCTCTGGTGTTTATGATATAAACTAACGATCATAGGGACTTCCCTGGCGGTCCAGTGGTTAAGACTCAGTGCAGGGGACTTGGGTTCAGTCCCTGGTCTGGGAACTAAGATCCCACATGCTGCACGGTGCAGCCAAAAAGAAAAAACAAAAAACAACCTGATGATCACCTAATTGTTATCCTCCTCTTTGGAAAGTAAGTTCCATGAAAATGGTCCTGGTCTAGGTCCTCACTTCCTCCCCCATGTCTGGTGTAATGTAGGCACTCAGCAAATACTGGACAGTTGTATAAATAAAAAGTGAATGAAAAAAATCAATGATATTTAAAAGTGAAGTTCCTGGGTAGCCTAAGGATGGGGGCTGGTTGTCAAGGGGGAGCCACCCATGTGATTAGAGTTGTAACTTTCAGTCCCACCCACCTCAACCACCATCTCCAACTGGGGGAGAGAGGCTGGAGTTAAATCAGCCCCAGCGGTGACTCATTTAAGCAGTCGTGCTCATGTAACGAAGCCGCCATAAAAAAACAGAAGTGAGGGGTTGTGAGAACATTCAGGTTGGTGAGCAGGTGGGGGTGCAGGGAGAGCGCATGTGTCGGCCAGCGCATCTCTCCCATCTGGCTCTCCCTGGTAGCCTAGTAAGGAGAACGTTTTCCTGAGTTCTCTGTGAGCCACTCTAACAAGTTAATCAAACCTCAGGTGGGGGGCCTTTGGAACCTCTGATCTATAGCCTGTAGGTCAGAGGCACAGGTGGCAACCTGGACTTGAGGCTGGCATCTGAAGTGGAGGGAGAGGAGAGGAGTCTTACAGGACTGAGCCATTAACTGTGGAATCTGATGCTGACCCCCAGTAGACAGTGTCAGGGTTGAGTGCATTGCTTGGTGGTGGTGGAACAAACACTGGAGAGGCCCTTCCAGTAACACGTACTGTGTTGGATACTTGCCATATGCCAGGCCCTCACAGCTTTGCGTATATTATTTCATCTTCATGTCAACTCGGAAGTAGATGTAGTTTATCCCCATTTTATGGACGGACACTTTGAGGCCACGAGAGGTTAACTAACTTACCCAAGATTGCACAGGTGGCTGTAACAGAGCTGGGATTCAAACCCAGTCAGCCTGGTCTTTAGAATCTAGACTCCAAACTATTGTGTGGCCTGGATTCCTAAGGACCTCTCTGAGAATTTGGACCTTATCCTGTGCGTCATGAGATGCCTTTGTAGGATTTTTTTTGTTTTTTTGGCTGTGTTCTATCTTAGTTGCAGCATGAGGGATCTTTGATCTTCATTGCAGCATGCAGGATCTTGATTTGTGGCATGTGGGATCTAGTTTCCTGACCAGGGCTCGAACCTGGGCCACCAGGGAAGTCCCCGAGGGATTCTAAGTAGAGAAGAAGAGAGGGGTGGGAGGGCCAGACAGTCTGAGTGGTCTGGGTGTTGCTTTCCACAGGAGCTGGGGTCTGGGTGAGTCCCAGTGCATGGACAGCATTATTCTGAGGACGGAAAGAACTTTCTAGCAGAGAGATCTGCACATGCAGAGTTGCCAGTAGTTGATTTTAGCTAGAGATCGAGAGGCTTCAAGGTGGGGCTGCAGTGAGGCTAAGAGGGAGCCAGGTCCTGAAGGAGTTTGGACCTCCTCCTGTGTTGGCAGCATCGAGACCATCCCTGTGTCTCTGGGGTCGTCTTGTCAGTCTTGGAGTGGCTAGCACCAGTTACCCACAGGGCTCAGAGCAAATGCCGGGTATCAGAGTGCCAAGGCAGGGGCATCAGAGCCTGGCAGCAGAAAGTTACAGCTCTGCCTCCATCCAGACCTTTGCAAGTGGTCAAGAGTGCTCGCAATGTGGGAGACCTGGGTTCCATCCCTGAGTTGGGAAGATCCCCTGGAGAAGGAAGCGGCTACCCACTCCAAAATTCTTGCCTGGAGAATTCCGTGGACAGAGGAGCCTGGCAGGCTACAGTCCATGGGGCCACAAAGAGTTGGACACGACTGAGTGACTTTAACATTCACATCAGAGTGCTCGGGGTGAAAGTGTGGAGCCATTAGGCTTCGAGAGAACTCAGCTTTATCTGCTGAGACTTTAAAAGTAGAAACAATTCTCTTTGTCTCGTCCCAGGAACTTTCACATTCATCCGCACGTCTTCATTTCAGCAACACGATATGTCCTGTCTATGTAGTGTTTGAGATAGTCTTACTGTCGCACATCATAATCACCATTTTCCCCCCAACTGTGATCATGAATTTCACAAAGTGATGTTTCTCTTCCTCCCTGTCAGGAAAGACTCTCGGAACTGTAACGCCAAGAAAACCTGTCTTATCTGTCAGTGCAAGAAAAATTAAGGACAATGCGGCCGACTGGCATAATTTAATCCTGAAATGGGAAACCCTCAACGATGGAGGTTTTGCTACTGCAAACAATATTGCCAACTTGAAAATCAGTTTGTTGTAAGTACCGGCAGAACATGTTCTGTGCGCTTCTGCCTTAGCGATTGGGCAGACATTTCATGGGCGTCTTTTAGAGTGGGCCGGGTGGCCTCCAGCAACATGGATAAATAAAGTGAACAAGCAACTGATAAAACAATGCACACAGGTATGAAATGTACATGCATTTTAAAAACAAAATTATGCTACAAATTGTTCGTGGTTACATCTGCATGTCAAATGATCAAAGTGGATTGGGAGGAGACAGACTCAGGTGCTGGTACCTTCTAGGAGGACTGAGTGGGACGGTAGGGCAGGTACCACTTCATCTCCAGAGTGCTGTGTTTTATTTCTGCGGTGTTGTGACTATCACTAGAAAATACATAGATTTGGTCTTTTTGTCCCTGTTCTTGGCACATGGCTCTTAAAACCCTATGATTTCCTTAGGGACCCGAGCTATGGAAGACTCTTTAGTTATAGTAATATTTGTTCTTTGGTCCTCCAGTTCCTGAATTAGCTCCAGAATGATTAAGGAGTGCCCTGTGGTCATCACAGGCCCCTTTCTAAGACGTCCGAGCCTGTGTTAATAACGGGGCCTTTGGAAAACGCCTCAGGAGGGGGACACCAGCCGTGCGATTGGAGTTGGCACTGTCAGAGCTGCCCCCTCACCTGCACTCTGGGGAGGTTGAGTTAATCAGTGACGGCCAAGCATTTAATCAATTGTGGCTTCATAAGGAAGCCTCCATAAAAACCCAGGACAGGGTTTGGGTAGCTTCTAGGCTGGGGACCTGAACGCTTCCCTGTGCCCTTACCCCAGATGCCGCAGGGAGAGAAGCCCCTGGGCTTGAGACCCTCCCAGACCTTGCCCTGGGTGTCTCCCTATGGTGACCAGGAGTCAGACGTGGAGTGGGGTGCTCAGAGCACCCCATGCTGGAGTGTGATTTCCCTTAGCAAGTTCTTTTAAAAAGACAAAAATATTATGAAGAAACTGTTGGCCGTTGCCAGTTCTGATTGAAAGATTTGCTTTATTATTCTTTGCACTTCCCGTATATATGTTTTTAGTTTGGCTTTTTTGTTTTTGTTTTGTTTTGTTTTTTAATCGGCCTGGCTTACGCAAGGCCTCAAAAAATTTAATCAAGACTCAAGCTTGTTCCTACCCATGGAAATCTTTTAGTAAAAGGCGAAAGATTTAAATGACCTGAAGAGAAACAAGAGTGTGGATCTATATATAATAGTTTTAATTTTTCAAAGCTGCATATCTTTGTCTCCTGGCCGGAGTGTAGAGTCTTAACTTCTTGGACTGGACCCCTGGCCCTTGCCAGCTCTCCCAAGCACATCAGACATGTCAGCCCTCTGGTCCCTTCTCCCGCTCAGCAGGTTCCATGAAGCAGTTCTTACCTGACTACATAAGGTGCTCTCTGAAGTTGGAGGTGGGAGGCGGGATCCATTGGGAGTTTGGGACTGGTACATACACGCACACTACTGTAAACAAAATAGATAACTAATAAGGACCTACTGTCTAGCTCAGGGAACTCTCTGTAATACTCTGTAATGGCCTAGATGGGAAAGGAATCTAAGAAAAGCGTGGCTCTTTGTACATGTGTGGCTGATTCACTTGCTGTGCAGTGGAAACTACCACAGCATTGTAAATCAAGGATGCGCCAAAAATTTTTTTTAAAACTTTCTGGACTACAAAACGAACAACAACGAGAAGATCTTCTCTGATAATCTAGTGTTTCATTTTTTCATTTAAATGTTGACTGTGGAGCCACTAGATTAATTTCAGGTGCTGTGGGTCACAGCTTTCCATTTACAAAACTCGTTCCTAGCTGGCGGGCTCTGAGGAAATGACCGTGTCTTGCCCACTGAGGACGCCACAGGGCTGGATTGAACTGACTTTGTCCTAGGGCAGACTCGAGCAGCAGATGGGCATATTCCTCATATACGTAAATAACATGTAAACATGATGATGTGAAATGACACCGGTGAAAACAGTCGACGATGACGCGTGTACACGGATATTGAGTTTTCTAAGGTTCATGCTAACGAAGGGAGGCGACCTCACGGCGTATGTTCTGTTCCTGCTTTTCCACCTGGTCCAGGAGCAGAGACAAGATAGAATTAGAGAGCAGCGGCCTGGCTGCCGACGACCCTGCAGAAAAGGAGCACCCGGAATACAGCAGGGAGCTGGAGGCGCTATGTGAGGAGCTGCAGGCCACCCTGGAAAGCTTGGTAAGGGGCCGCCCCCTCCCCGGGGCCGGGTGTGCGCAAGCGCCCAGCGTCGTCCCACACTGCCCTTGGCCAGGATTCTCTCCCTCCTCCGCCTCCCCGTTGGTCTCTCGCTCTGCCTGCCCCACAAACCTTGTTTCCGAGATGCTATCCTGACCTTCCTTCTGGTCGGCGTGTCGCAGGGGCTCCCGGTCCCCACAGGAAGCGGATTAGGCTTGGGGGCCTCTTGCCTCTATCCAGAGGCCGGCCTGAGGCGAGTGGGTGTGACTGCGTTCCAGCAGAGCTCTATTTACGGACACTGAACTGTGAATTTCATGTACCTTTCATGTGTCACATGAAATATTCTGCTTTTGATTTTTTTTTTTTCAACCACTTAAAAATATAAAACCCATTCTAAGCTCAAGGGATGCACAAAAATAGACCGAGCTGGATCTGGCCTGAGGGCCCTGATCTCACCCATAAGGGATGCTCTGAAGTGTTTTTAACTCAAGGCTGGATGTTGGTATCTACCACACTAGCCATCATGTGGACGAAACACCTCATCTCAGGCAGACACAGGGATAGGGTTTTACACATCTTAAACACAGGTAGCTAAAGCTTCTCCACATAGAGCGTCTATATATTCTAACATTTCTTGATGTAAGTGTTTCTAATGCTTTACATGCTTCCTTATCTTTTTAAACAGCATATGTCGAGTATCACTATATTTCTTCAAGATACCACTTGTTCAAAGTTAGGATTCCACCTATTAAAAGGCAGACTATAGGTTTATAAGTTTTTCAGAAAAGAAGCACATCCATTATAAGGTGTAATGGTTTCTGAAACATGAAAATGAGAAAAATAAATAGGGCACTGAGGACATCCTGGTGGTTTCGCTTTTACTTTGATCGAAGGGCACTACTGTCTTCAGGATATGTTGCCGTGCGGGGCGGGGGGGCTGTTGGTCTCTAAGTAAACGATAAGGGTTTTGTAATTGTCCTGTCTTGTGACACCGCCTTCGGGTTGTGCTAAGAAACACTTGCCCGCCTGCCCAACCCCTCGCACGTGGTGCTCGAGCAGAAACAGAACAGGTCCGTGTCATCAGTCACTACATTCTAAGCCCCACTCCTAGGAAGGCTGGAGGAAAAGGTGTCTGGGCCTGGTGTTTCCTTTGTTGTATCTCCACGTTCACTGTGGCGTCTCCAGTAATTGGGTCATTGACCTCGGCTTCTGAACCTAGGCTTCTTGAATTAACACAGGCAGAGTAATCAGTCATATTTCCAGAAAAATCCAATTGAAAACTGACCACGTGTGTTTTTTTCCCCACATTAACCCATTTGACTATGGCAAGTGGTTTTGTTTGGACAAAACACCAGTGCACACGTTGCTTGGAAGAGAAAAAACTGGAGGGCTGAGTTCCTACACTGAATGTTTATTTCCTGGTCACACTTAGCTTTTAATTGTCAGTTCTTGTTTCGTTGAAGTCTAGCTGGTTTCCAACGCTGTGTTCCTCTGTGCTCTAAAGCAAAGTGGTTCAGTTATACATATGTACACATCCTCTCTCACATCCTTTCCCATGATGGTCTGTTATGGTATTTAGAATACAGTTCCCTGTGTGTATTGAAATGCTTTACACAAAGTTATGCACATGCAGCCGGGCAGTTGTCTGTTGGTTCGACATGGCAGCACTCGCACCAGAACATCATCATCCGTGGCCTACTGGCTCCGTCTCCGCACAAAACATCTCACAGAATCCCCCAGCTGGATCAGAACAAGAAACACTTCAGACACATGCTAACGTGACTTTTAACAGGATGTAAAAACCCTGGGAAGGATTTTGTTTCTAAATGCCATTTGGCTTTCTTTAGCAGGTACCTCATTTATAGACTTCCCTGGCGGCTCAGACGTTAAAGCGTCTGCCTACAATGCGGGAGACCCGGGTTCAGTCCCTGGGTCAGGAAGATCCCCTGGAGAAGGAAATGGCAACCCACTCCAGTATTCTTGCCCGGAGAATCTCATGGATGGAGGAACCTGGTGGGCTACAGTCCATGGGGTCGCAAGGAGTCGGAGACGACTGAGCAACTTCACTTTCACATATGCACACCATGCTGGGGAAGGAGAGCTTGGCAGGAACCAGGGGAAGAGGCTGTTCGCCTCCCGTTTCAGGCAAGTCAGGAGTGACTGACTGGTTTTGCTCGTGCGGTCCCAGTTCTCCCTGTTCTCGCCTGGCTGTCTGGTGCCACGGGAACCCCTTCCTCAGCCCCACTGACTGTGCAGAGGAGGGGCGGCCTGGGAGGGTGTCAGACCTGAGTCAAGGTCCAGAAAACCCAGCCTGATGGGCTGAGCAGGTGACATGTCCTGTCCCCGGCCCCTCCACCCACAGCACGTGGCCTGGCAGGGCAGCCGAAAGTGGCCGCTAGTTTTGAGGTGACCGCATGCCCCACAGTGGCCCTAGTTCCCAAGGCCTTCCTTCAGACAAAGCCTGGGCTGACCATGGGTGCTAGTTGTCAGGCCCCAAAGTTCTGTGCCCCAGTGGATTTATTCTGTTTTAAATGGAATAAGTGGTTCGAGGGACGTCCCTGGTGGTGCAGTGGTTAGGACTCAAGTTTTCACTGCTGTGGGTTGAATCCCTGGTTGGGGAGCTAAGATCCTGCAAGCAGCATAGCATGGCCAAAAAGAAATAAAGTAGTTTGAGAATTAGTTCTCACTCAGTTTTAAAACCAAAGTTGATATTAGGAGGATATTGATATCACTATTCCTATTTTCTTCCAGCCTTTGGAGAGAATGGTTTCCCGGGCTTGACTTGGCCTTGCATCTGACCTTGGTGGGGGGTGGAGGTGTCCGTGTCGGTCGGCTGGATGAACATTTCGCAGTGAGGGCTCTTGCCTTTAGGAGGGACATGGAGCCGCGAGCCTGTCACTTCAGGGCTGCGCACGTGTGACTTTGGTGTTGTTTCTGATGAACGAGCCCCTGGGTGGAGCTGGCCCCTCCGGCCCAGGCTCAAGTCTCCCGGGTTCCCTTTGCTGTCCTGGGGTTGTCAGCTCTTCTTAGCATTAGGTGGCAGTGGGGAGCTGCCGCAGAACGCAGAGGGCAGGGCTGGGGATTGGGTGTCCTTCCCGAGCTCAGCAACCTTGAGAATTTTCCCAGCTGTCGTCCGGAAATGATGAGTCCTACCCCCTGGGGTTGGGCCAAATGAAATATCGAACCTGGAAAGATTTGGGAACAGAGTCTGGTCCTTTAAAAATTAATGTTAGCTAAATTTAGTGCAGTCGCTTCAGAGGTAGTTGGAGAGCGCTTGAAGGACCAAGTGTAGGGGATTAAGATTCTGACGACTGATAGAGCTTTCCTGACATCCCACTGTGTGTATAAAGCTAACTCCACACTTGGGACCTAGAGTTGTGGTCTAGTAGACCTGCGATGGGGCTTCCCAGGTGGCCTTAGTGGTAAAGAACCTGCCCGCCAATGCAGGAGACATGAGAGACACGGGTTCAACCCCTGAGTTAGAAAGATCCCCTGGAGGGGTGCATGGCAACCCACTCCAGTGTTCTTGCCTGGAGAATCCCATGGACAGAGGAGCCTGGTGGGCTACAGTCCGTGGGGTCACACAGAGTTGGACGCGACTGGAGTGACTTAACACGCACGCACACAGACCTGTGCTGCTGAAATCCGAAAGTTTGGTCCCTGCACGCGTGGGACCCTTCACGTTTGTGAAGCGTTTTTACTTCACAAACGCTGACGTAGCTCCGACCAGGCCCCCGTGTCATCAGGCACTCTGTCGGCCGGTCCCGACAGCAAGCTCCTGACATGCACCGAGGCACCGTCAGCGCCTCGTGGCCGCTGCCTCCTCCCTGTGTGCTGGGCTGCCTTCTGTTATTACAGTTTTATCAACAAGGAAACCGAGCCTCAGAGGTTTCAGTGAACTTGAAACCAAGCAGAACGACGGAAGCCTTTCTGTCCCACCTTTCTGGTTTGTAGGCAAGAACCCAGTCTCGAGACCTGCCTGGTGGTCCAGTGGCTAAGACTCCGCGCTCCCCGTGCAGGGGACCAGATCCTGACTGGGGAACTAGATCCCACATGCCAAAGCTACAGATCCCATGTGCTGCAGAGAAGATCAGAGATCCCAAGTTCCGCAGCTAAAACCTGGCACAGCTAGATAAATAAATACGGGGCTTCCCTGGTGGCTCAGTGGTAAAGAATTCGCCTGCCAAGGCAGGAGACACGGGTTCGATTCCCTCATCTGGGAAGATCCCACATGCTGCCGAGCAGCTAAGCCTGTGAGCCACAACTACCGAGCCTCTGCTCTAGAGCCCACGCTTGGCAACAAGAGCAGCCTCTGCAGTGAGCAACCCGAGCACCACAACTAGAGAGCGCCCCCCACCCACGCGCTGCAACTGGAGAACAGCCCGCACCGCAGCGAAGACCCAGCACAGCCAAAAATCATCACATACGATTTTAGTGAATAAAGAAAAAAAAGAAAAGACTCCAGCCTCCCTGACCTTCCCTGAGTTCCAAATGGTGGATTCCAGCAGTTGCTAATTCAGAGAAGAGCAATCAAGAAACTACTTGAGGCAGGATTAAAGGAACCAGAGAAGCTCATCAAGATAAGACCAGACCACCTGAGCCCAGGCCCTACACACACCCTGATCTTACTGGCAACCCCACCCCTTGAACCATGGCTGTAAAACTCCTCGTCAAATACTCCTGGGCTGCAGACACAGTTTTTCAGGGCAAGAGGCTGCCACGTCCCCCTTTGTCTGGCAAAGCAGTAAAACTATTCTTTTCTACCTCACCCAAAACTCTATCCAAGACTTGATTCAGCACTGTTGCACAGAGGCTGAGTTTGGGGCATCAAACTCAAAGGCAGTTCCCCAGAGTCAGAGTGAGCTCATTTAATGCCTCTTCTGTCTCTCATTCCGTAAAAGGGAGAGCCTGCCTTTCCACCCGTCTAGGCCTCTGGTGCCAAAAAATGAGTGATGTTCAGAGAGCTCAGTGAAATGGGACTCAGCAAGCTTCCTCTTCTCCAGCACTGGAGAGCCAGGGTTTATTACTGAAGTAATCCAAACTTGTGAAATCGAAGTAACCGTTTACCTCCGTCTCCCAGGAAATTTGCTGCACACGGAGTGAATGGTGTTGAATTATTGGACTTAGGTCTCAACAGACGTACATTTCTTAGCCTTGACATCTTAACAGTTACTGAATCTAAGACTGAATTTCAAATAATATTCTCATAGTCTAAGTTAATATCTTTTTCAGACCAAAATACAGATGAAGATGGAAAAGCTGTCTTCAACCACCAAGGGCGTTTGTGAGCTAGAAGATTACCATTATGGGGAGGAGAGAAAACGCCCCCCGCTCTTCCACACCTGGCCCACAGCCCATTTTTGTAAGTAGTTCTTTCTGCCTTATTTTCAAGGGTAGATCATGAGAGCATTTCATGCCATTTAGATCTAGCCCTCTAAAGCTGACAGACTTTGATTGAATTGACAAAACTCAATTCAGGAGGATCCGTTGGGAGGGAGGGAGGGAGATGGAGGCATCTTAGATGAGCGTTTCTTCTTGTCTTTAATTACCTACTAACAAGCAAAGACTCATTGGAAAAGACGCTGATGCTGGGGGAGATTGAGGGCAGGAGGAGAAGGGGAGAACAGAGACTGAGATGGTTGGATGGCATCACCGACTCGATGGACATGAGTTTAAGCAAGTTCCGGGAGATGGTGAAGGGAAGTCTGGCGTGCTGCAGTTCATGGGGTCACAGAGTCGGATACGTCTTAGCGACTGAACAACAATCAGCAGAGAATATTAAACATCATTAGAGACCCATGAAGCAAGCTGCCAGTAGTCCTTTAAAGCCAATGGTTAGACTGAACTTAGCCTCCTCAGCAGAGGTAGAATTTTTTTTTTTTTTGTAGAAAGCTAGGTTTTCACTTTTTGTTTAGCTTTGTTTAAAAAGTAAGTGGGGGTCACTTTAGCCTGCCCCATGGAGAAAGGCTGCTGGGAAAACAAACTCCATTACTTAAGTTGTGCAGTAAGGACTGTTTTTAGCTTTATTAGTTTAAAAGAAGGGCTAAACTATTTAATGTTGCTTTGAGACCTCACTTCTAAATAAGGGAGAAAAGGGTAGAATCACCTAATGTAAGGTGTTCATTGAATATTGTCAGTTTGAGGTGAATGTGCTCTGTATAGTGACTGTAGGCGCCTAAGAACTGCGTAGAAAAGGTTACAGCTGCTTTTTAATTCCGTGACACACTCTTCCCTTGTTATCTGATCCTAACTTACACTGGCCGAAGTCCATCTTCCTCCCAGTTCTGTTGCTGACTCTGGCTTTTAACGCGCAGCTTTTCAAAGTCCCTGGTGGTCCAGTGGTCAGGACTTGGTGCTTCCACTGCAGAGGGCATGGGTTCGATCCCTGGTCCGGGAACTAAGATCCCATAAGCAGCGCAGCAAGGCCAAAAAAACTAAAATAGCGGCGGGTCGTCCCAGCCTCGGGCTCCCCCCCAGCAAATGCCGCTGTTCGAGGGGGCTCGCGTTCCTTGCAGATGAGGTCTCCCGCAAGCTCGCCGACATGTACGGCCAGGAGCTCCGCCTGAAGCGCATGGTGGTGGAGCAGCTGGCACATGCAACCGACCGTGACCTCGCCCTCAGCTACCTGTCCATGTGGCTGCACCAGCCTTACCTGGAGGGCAGCTGCAGGCTGCTTCTGGAGAGCATGCTGCTGGAGACGGGGCACCGTGCGCTGTGACCTCCCCCACCCCCCGGCGGACACTTTCAGGGGGGCGCTGGGCGGTTCCCCGGGGTCACGCCCCTGGCTGCACCCCGCAATCAGGCCGTGCTTGGTCCTCCCACCCGCTCTCTGCGGCCTCTCCCGCCACACCGACTTCTGCCGCCTGCTGGCCGCTTGCCTGCACCTGTTGTGAATGTGGCATCTGTGAAGACTTCTGCATGAAATAAATGAGTGCCTCAACTAAATGAGTGGTCTGGTTTTTGTCAATTAGGTCTGTTTTACATAGATTCCACTTGTGTAGAAAATCCCTGGTTTAATATTTGTATTGTTAAAATTGGGGGCTGTATTAGCTTTGTAACTACAACTAAAATAGGAGGCACTAGTGGTTAAGAATCTGCCTGCCAACGCAAGAAATGTAAGAGATTTGGGTTCAATCCCTGGGCTGGGAAGATCCCCTGGAGAAGGAAATGGCTACCCACTCCAGTATTCTTGCCTGAAAAATTCCATGGACAAGAGGATCCTGGTGGGCTACAGTCCATGGGGTCACAAAGAGCTGGACACGACTGAGTGCAGATTAGCTTTGTAATTACAAGTAGTGTCTAGAATACCTTAGAGGTCACTGAGTAAAGATCAGCATCATGCAAATGAAAACTAGCTATCAAAAAATTGCCCTGTCTTTGTACTTAGGCCACGACTGGCCATGTGAAGTGTCTTCCATGTCCTTCTGGTTTAAATCCTGTAGTTTGGCAATATTTGCAACCAGATATTGGGGGTCCGTTCTGCCATTGCTCCCTCAGAAACAGAAGTCTGAGAAACTTCATGCTATGTGATACGGAATGTAGTCTCATGACACTGAAGTCCTAGCAGCTCAGGAACAAGTGCTTCCCAGGCAAAGAAAGAAAATATTCCAAAAATAAAAGACTTTATGTATGATGTGGGTGTATTTGGAGCAAAATCTCACTGTAAGTTGGTATGTGCAAAGCATTCCAAAGCAGCATTTCTTAGAACTTATTGTTCCTCTCCTTAGCAGTGTTTATTAAATCCCAGCCATCATAATAGTAGTCCACTAGATGTCCTGCAGCCTGGAAACGGCCTGGCTGGCGTTCGACAGAAGGGGCATCCTGCCCCCAGGGCTCCCTGTCCCAAGCCAGGTGGGCGGGACCAGCCCTCCTTGGAGGCATGGATCAGGTTTTAGGATTGGGATGGGGTGTGGTACTTAAAAAAGAGTAAATGTTCAGGGGAGACACTGAAGAACTGCTCAGCCTTTGGAGGACAGACATTTCCTGTCTTAACACCTCATCCACAGACACCCTGGTTGCCCGGGAGAACTAACGGGAATGAATGATGCTGCTGATGCTGAAGCCCAGCCTCCATGCACCGGCACGGAACTGAATCTTGGAGACAATTTGGCGTGAAGTAGGAAAGAATTGCTTTGCCAGGTGAAGGGGGCCACGTTGGGCTAATGCCCTCAAAACTGTGTATCCTGGGCTTCCATGGTGGCTCAGTGAAGAATCTGCCTGCCAGTGCAGGAGACACAGGTTCAATACCCGAGCCAGGAAGATCCCACATGGCAAGGGCTGTGAAACGCTGTGCTGCAGCTACTGAGCCCGCACCCCGCAACAAGAGAACTCACAGCAGTGAAAGCCCAGGCACTGTGACTAGAGTAGTCCCCACTCACAGCAGCTAGAGCAAGGCCTGCACAGCAACGAAGACCCAGTACAGCCAAATATAAATAACCAAAAAACAGCTGTGTGTCCCACCTGGGGTGAGGGAGAGGCACTGTGTGGTCTTACAGTCGAGGGGGCGGGCTTTCTGCTTAGGACCAGGGTGCCCACAGGGCCTGCATTCTTTAAAGCCAGAGGTCATCTGGAGTCAGGGGCTGACCTTCTCTCTGGAGAAGGTCTCATCGAGTAGTTAACACGTTCCATTTGTTGGGACACCTACCCAACAGAAGAGCTCAAAGATACTGTTCTGTGTATCCTGAATATTCATTGGAAGGACTGGCGCTGAAGCGTCAATACTTTGGCCATCTGATGGGAAGAACCGACCCTTTAGAAAGATTCTGATGCTGGTCAAGACTGAAGGCAGAAGAAGGGGACGACAGAGGATGAGATGGTTGGATGGCATCACCAACTCAATGGACATGAGTTTGGGCAAGCTCCGGGGCTTGGTAATAGGAAAGCCTGGCCTGCTGCAGTTCATGGAGTGCAGAGTAGGACACGACTGAGCGACTGGACATTGGAGGAGGAACCGTGACCCTGCCCCAAGGCTGCACTATTTCTCAGCTGCTCCTCCCTTGTCCCTCTGTACCCTCCCTTCCCTGATTCAGTTCAGTTCAGTCCCTCAGTCCACCTTCCCTGATTAGCACCTGTTTGGACCTGCCCTTTGGAACTCAGAGGCTTCCCAGGTGGTGCAGTGGTGAAGAATCTGCCTGCCAATCCGGGAGGCACAAGAGACACAGGTTGGATCCCTTGGTCAGGAAGATCCCCTGGAGGAGGGCATGGCAACCGACTCCCTGAGAATAAAGCCCACTCCTCCAGAGCACAGGGAGCGTGCAGCCCCCAGCCCCAGCCCCAGCCCCAGCCGTCCAGGGTCCTTCCTGATGGTGTCGGCCAGTGCGGGGAGGGACAGCTGTGCCCTTTTGATGCTCTCATCTGAGTGGGCAAATGGCCCTCTCTCCCCAGGACAGAGCCAAGGAAAACATTCCAAGAAGAGACGGAGAGACCTCGCTTGGTAAGTGGCTTTACAAGCAGGACATCGCGGGGCTGTGGCTCCCGTCCCGCGCATCACTCTTCTCCACCAAGTGTCAGCACAGACAACATGCTTCCCTACCTCCCAATAAAATGCTGCCCAGATAGCAAGCTTGCGTGTTTATTTACTGAACCCGGAAGCAGCTTCTCGTGTGGACCAAGTCTGGTATAAAGCAGAACATCGCCGAGGAGAAAGAGGACATAGTTTTCTGTGACCGGGGGGCAGGGGAGACAACCCAGAACCAGGGCAGCGGTGTCACCTGCAACAGTTGGCAGAGAAGCCCAGGGTTAGATGTGTCGGAGGGTGCATCACCAGGTAACGCATCTGCCATCATCACAACAAGCAAGAGGTAGAAAAAGGTAGACAGTGAGGTAGAAAGACGTTATTCTTTATAAATAAAATGTTCATTTGTGTCAGTATTCACATTTGAAAAATACACACTGGAGACAGACCTTCTCTGGGTAAAATCCACACAGATCTAGGGCTGCGGCTCTGACCCCATCTCACTGAGAGGGCTGCGTCTCCAAGCTTCCAGAGGAGCCATTCCAGGGGCCCAGTTGCAGGGCAGGCCCCTCCACGTCCGTCACTGTGACAACATCCCCCCCCCCAGGCGCTACGGAACCCGGATGGAACAAGAGAAGCCCATCGGAGTCTGAACAACCGTCTGCTCCCCTTCCTGAGATGACAGCGTGGGGCACCCGTCGCTGAGTTCAAAAGCCACGACCTCCCCGATGGCGGCGCGGCCTCCAGCCCCTGGTCTGCGTGACTCTCCGGGCAACTGGTCCCAGCCCCGGTGGCCTGCAGGGCCCGCTCCAGACTCGGCATCTGCCCTGGCTGGGCTGAGGCCCCGGCTCAGATGTGATGCTGTGCGCACAGTCGCCTGGCACGGCGTCCATGGACCACGCTTTCCTGGGCAGAGGGGCAGGGGCCTCCGGAGGCTGGGCCTCGCTGGGGCTGGACTTGGGGCTGCTCGGGTGGGAGCCACACGCCTCGTGGAAACTTCCCGCCTCTGCGGTTCCAGGCTGGAGACTGAGGTGCTGCAGACAGCCGGGCTCCCCAGGCCAGCCCCAGCATCCGGACACTCTCCCCAGGGAACGCCGCCACCTGGTGCTGGGCCCGTGTCCCCGGTGCCCCTAAGGGATGGGGGAGCCCCGGCCCAGGGCACCCTGGCGCGGGGCAGTGGGGTCTGCAGGCCCACTGTGAGCTGCCCAACCAGCCAGTGCTGCCAACCGCCGGCCCGCCTGTGCCACGCTGCTCTCACGCTCAGGAGCTGGCATCGTGGGGCTTTCCTCGGGGCGCGGAGAGGCGCCCCTATTCACTCCAGGGGCAAAACCTAAACAGTTTGGAAAAACAGTCAGTTGTGTACTGTTGTCGGTCACATATCACTATCCAAACCAAGCTAGTCCAAAGTAACTTTCCTGCCCCCGAAACAAAAACATAAACCCTCCTTGTTACTTGGCAGCTCCCAGGAATGGATGAACTATCAGGAAACTCAGACCTGTGAGGCGAGGGGAGCTGTGTTCCAAACATGTATCAGAGTCCTCATTGTTCTCAGTGAGTAAACCTGCCCTCCTGTCTGGAAGAATTAAGTCCTAAGTTCGGAAGTGGAGGAGGCCTCTTTATATTAGAGACCTAAAGATCAGTTGGAAGGACTGATGCTGAAGCTGAAACTCCAATACTTTGGCCACCTCATGCGAAGAGCTGACTCATTGGAAAAGACCCTAATGCTGGGAGGGATTGGGGGCAGGAGGGGAAGGGGCCGACAGAGGATGAGATGGCTTCACCGACTCGATGGACATGAGTTTGGGTAGGCTGCGGGAGTTGCTGATGGACAGGGAGGCCTGACGTGCTGCGGTTCAGGGGGTCGCAGAGTCGGACACGACTGAGCGACTGAAGTGACTGACTGAAGGATCAGGTAAGGTCATCAGGAAGTTGTGATAACATTTTGGAAAGTTACATAATCATTCTGAGTATGCCTGCAATATATTCCAGGTGTCTCATGGATCTGTTCTGGCTAGCACCAAAATAGAAGCTAGAACATGCCTTGTTTTCAAACGGTAACTCACAGCTGGCACTGACAGCCAAAGGGCTTTCATGACGCCAAGCCATGGGCTCATGTGTCCTGGGACCTGTCCTTGCTCTTGGGTCTCCCCAGCTCCTCAGGGCCCTCCCAGGCACAACCCACCCAGCACCACGAGGCAGCTCTTCATTCCAATAAAGGGCTCAAGAAAACCCCAAAGACCCAAGACTCCTGGGGAATAAGCACT